CCATTTGTATATCAAGATCCGGAATTTGCAATTTTTTTTCACAATGATAAATTTATCATAAGATAGTATGCTACATTTTGGTCAAACAAGAAAAGATCGTTGAAATTTTTGTTTGCAAGATATCAGCTTCCAACTTAAAATCTGGCGTTAGATTGTATGAAGTCTTGATCTCGTTTAAACTATAAAGAACACGCTCAACTAATTCTGTAGTATTGTCTGTACCTTTGCTGATCATCTTGTCGTACTTTGGCATTTTAAAGTAATGCTAATGTGCTTTTTAAACACGCACCCAAAATACTAGCAGAAGTGTAAAACAAGGTATATAATCTTTGAACAACTCCAAAAAATATAACAACTTGTAAACAATCACTGCAGTAGTTTCTCCAACAAAATGCAGTGAGTAGGCAACACACGGAATGAAATACACGTACTGATTTACCTACTGAATATTTGGCCAGGTGGTTAGGGTGCTTGACTCGCAACCTGAGGGTCGCGGGTTCGAATCCTCGTCCCAACAAACATGCTTGTCCTTTCAGCTGTTGGGGCGTTATAATGTGACGGTCAATCCTACTAGTCATTGGTAAAACAGTAGCCCAAGAGTTGGCGGAGGTGGTGATGACTAACTGCCTTCCCTGTCTTTTACTGCGAAGTTAGGGACGGCTAGCCCTCGTGTAGCTTTGCACGAAATACAAACCAAACCTGCTGAATTCGATTTTAACACCTTTGTATGCTGCAGCTATGTCAGCTCCGTTGCCATAGTTTTGCTCCCTGCAATCAGCCATATCCTAACCACGTTTCTTCAGCTTATCTAGAATAATTCTTGTGATACCCTTTTTGGGCTTGGATATAAATTAAGCCATCTCTTGTAATTTCGACATATCTTAAAATCTGAGACATCTGTTTTGTTCAGGAGAGCTCTGGAGTTCAATAAAACATAATAATAATAATCCTGTCAAAAATAGTCTTTCTTATCCTACAGATAAACTGATTTTGAATTTGGTTTGGTATGCATGTCACCTTTGCAGTACCGGCCTTAATAGCTTCCATATGATATTTCAACACATTACCACATATTACAAGCAATTTGATTAATCCCAAAAAATACTTTCACAAGGACTAGCTAATTTTCCCTCATGATTTCATGGTTTACAAAGGAAGATGAGGAAATTGGCTGAAAAACAGATAAACTCACGAATTTTATAGTGGTGCGTAATGAGACTACTTCTTCAACAAAAACCTTAAAAATATTTTCTATTAGTCTTGCAGGTTCATGTTTTACCAAAGAGGTAGTCTTCTTTTAGATTGGTTACTATTTATTTGTGTTTTGTCTGCGATAATTTAATGTGGTGAGAACTTTTACTAATGAATTCTTATATTTTGTGTGATTTTTTGTATCTATAACATTTTTGTGTGTTAAACTCAGGTATTCTTGTAGTGTACCAATTAATAGCTTCTTGATTTCCGTATTTCCATTTCTGTTGCCTCTTGTAACCATACTTCGAACATTTACATTTGAACATTTGAAATGTTTTTAAATTCTTAGAGCAAAAGTGGCATATGTCCCCACCCCAATTTTTTTCTAGTTAGTGCACGTACACTAATAGTTATGGGCGTATATGGCTTCATACATTTGCTTTATGTTGAGACATCCCAACTAGTTAACAAGAGCGTAACAACTAGTGAGGATATGTAATACACTAAGAGGGATCATTGAAAGGCTGTGTCATGTTTGCACTGTCAATCCATACTTTGTCATAAACCGCCATATACTATATTTAACTCCCTAGAAAAGCTAATAAGATTGAAAGAAAAGTGCGCTGTGTGCTTTTGAAAACCACTTTGTGTAGGTTTATTTTACATAATAATTCCTGGTCAACATCAAGTGTGTAGGAAACACATTTGGGTAAGTTTGCTTGCTACTTTAGAGAAATAAGGTTGTAATTTTGTCTTTCAAGGATTATGTAATGTGACAATTATTGTAAGCAGTAAGTTCACTCAAAATAGATAAAATATTAAATAATGATTGGCAAAGCTTTTGTGTGGGATATGAAAAAGTAGTTAGTATAAGTATTTATCCTTTTTTTTTGGTGTGCCTTAAAATTAATGATGGCGCTTTGCATCCCCATCAGCCTTTTCTACATATTTTTCTAAATTAGTTATACACAAATCTACTCGTGGGTCTCTTGACTTTACTTCATGACAGGGTCCCTAATAATATACAAATCACACAAAATATATGAACAATGTTGCACTAATACTGCCTGGAATCCCTATGTATTTTACACAGGAAATGAGTGATTTCACCTAATGGTTTTGGGCCAGTTTTAAAACTGTGTTGTAACAGGTATACACACAATTATTTAATACGATGCAAATGATACATACCTGGACCCTTGCGATAGTGAACCTATAAAAGAAAATCAGTAATTTAATAGTTAATATGATTATTTGAAATCTTCCGTCTCAGAACCGGTTAAAATGTAATTTCTGAGAGGTTCCTCAGAAATCTTCTAGTCACCGGTGAAGGTTTTTTTGTTTTTTGTTTTTGCAAAGTTACATAAGGGCTATCAGTGTATATCCGTCCCTAATTTTTAAATAATACAAAGAAAGAGGGCAGCTAGCCAATAGCACTCACCGCCAACTGTTGGGATACTCTTGTCTACTGATTAGTGGGATTTGACCGTCAATATTATAGCACACTCGCAACCCCAAAGTGAGAAGTGCAGTTTTGTGGTAAAGATACGCAAACCATGAACCTTCAGATTCACAGTATGGTATGTCAGTCACTAGGCCACGCCCCGTCCCACTAATGAAGAATATAAAATTACATATTATATGTATATTTACTTTATTACACTTACTGCACGTTGTTCAAGAATAACAGTGAGTTTATGAAATGATTTTTGTGTTTTATTCGGAAAAAAATGATTATTTGGTTCAGCTCAACATTATTATTATTAGCATCTTTTTTAATCAGTACATTATAACATGCCTTTAAGCAGCGATAATGGGAGTGACGTTGCCCTATACAACTGTACATCTGCTGCACGTTACTTCGCGCAGCACGTGTTGGTAGGTTATAACTGCTTACTTACAATAATGATTCTTCCCGCGTGTCTCACACGTAGCACAAGTCCATAGAGTGTATATTCGAACAAAGTTATCCATGAATTCAAAGTTGGGGATGTATTAGGCAAAATTCAACGGACTATTCTTATGCAGTTGGTCCTTGCTATTTGACTTTTATTGATTTTTGGACAGCAGGTGTTAGGCCTTGACTTTAGACCGTGATTCTGCTACGCTCCAATAAATCATTTTGAAAGCATAAAGAGATTCCGTAGGTTTAACGTACCCGAAACAATAAACAAAGAATCGTTGTTTGTGATCCAGTTTTAAACTTAATGTCACTGCACCGCGTGTGACTTGTGGCATTTTTTATAACTTTATATGAAGTATAATTAATTTTAAAGTTATCTTGAAACTCGATTTTGAGATCTTGTCTGTACTTATAGAGCTTATCGTAGCGATTGTTTGATCTTAAGTACAAAATGATAACTACAATAGATAATTAAAATAAACAATACAGGCAAATATAGAGAAGAAACAGATATTAGCATAAACATTTGCTTAAAGCAAGTTATCTAGTTAAGTCGAAAACAAAACAAACAATTAAAAACGGGCATGGAGGACAGACATCAAAATATACCATTCTTGCACTCACACTTATAAAGGAAACAAACTGAAAGGCATACCATTAAACGATTCATTCAAAATTGAAGTTACTACGTTGGAATTACCTGTAGGCTGCGCCAGACATAAATTACACCGGCCTGCAATGGTTTTACTGTCTTGAAATGTTTACATGTTCTACTGTAATTCCTGTACGCTGAATCCGAAAATAATATCCAATTCTCTTCATCACGAACAGATTTTTCACAAAACGTCGTATGTACTTTTTTCATAAGTGAATCATTTGCATTGAAATCGAGTCACATTTTATTAGGCTTAAATTGTTGACAACCACTGGCTATAGATTTCTCTAGAACAATCGCGACGTGAGTCTTATCGATCGTTCTAGAACCCAAACATGACAAACATAATAATAAAAAATGTTCATTGTGGTAAACGAAATAATAATTTGATCTAAGTAACAGTTTTTTCTTCTTCCCGATTTGTAAAAAAATACTTGATAGAAAAAAAAAGAATATTATTTTCGAAATCTGCGTAGCTGAATTATGGAAAATCCGTTATTAAAACCAAAACAACTTTTATGAAGTTTAAATTTGCACGCATGTGTTGTCAAACATTAGTCTTGATCGACTTAAAAAAATCAGTTATTGCTATAAATAATTACGATTACTTTAGCATCACTCAGAAAAGATCCAAAATATAACAGTATTAGAAAGCAAGGACGACGACTACTGACACGTATGGCTAAAGGCTTACATACTTCGTCTAATGTTCCAGAAGGACCATGCGGAATAGAAGACATTTCTAAACTTCAACGTCATATTAATGTTCAAATACATGTAGTATCTTCGGAAAATTTTAACCGTGTAATATATTAATGTTCTTCACGCCCAGACAAAATTTACCTACGGTACCATGATCAAATAAATACTTTTTTTTTTATTTTGAGACAGATCAAGAAAGCGGAATTCACGAGGTAAATTAGTGCGTGATCCATGATTTTAATGGTAAGGAAACAGTGTTCAAAGGTTATAATTCATGTTACGAATTTTGTAAATTCTTATTTTCGAACGAACATAAAAAATTATATAGTTATAGCGAATAATATTAAAGGTTTCGATGGGCAATTTATCTTGAATTATCTTATTCGACAAGGGATAAAAACCTTACATTATCATAAACGGTAAACAAATTATGGTTATGACCGTCAAAAATCGTAGAATTAGAATAATTGGCAGTTACAATTTCATTCGTATGTCTTTATTATTGTTTCCAAAAACATTTGAATTAGGAGAACTACAGAAAGGATATTTTCCTCATCTTTTCAAAATCAATTCAAATGAGGAATATCGAGGATCTATACCGATACCATGTCAGTACCCAGGCAAAAGTTCCTGGATTGGCACTGTCAGCGACGAGAGGAAGAGTACATCTTTGACTTTCAAGAAGAGATATACAGGTAAGAAAAAAAAGAACATTGTCAGTGCTGATTCTTATTAATTTTTCTTGTTATTGTTATCTTGAAAAATGTATTTTTTTTCTTTAGATACTGCCGATCAGACGTAGATATACTTCGATGGTTCTGTCTTCAATTCAGGGACGAGTTTCTCACAACCTACGATGTAGATCCCTTCAGATACACGACCATTGCTTCTTTATGCATGGCTGTATACAGAAGAAAAGTTATTCCACCACGATCGATAGCTCTCATATCTAACCACCGATACTTTACGACCAACAACTACAGCCAAGTAAGTAACCAATGGTTAGATTATGTACAAAAATATAGAGGGTAAAGATGCAACATGCATTTAATGGGGGTGAGAAACAGATCCTGAATTACAGAGTAGAAGGTTTCTGACGATCTATGAGTTTTACGAGTACTGCTACCATAGTTGTAATAAATGTTATGACTCTGACACAAAGAATGTAGTTCTAAATAGACCCATGTGTTTTATTAGAAATCGTAGATTTCAAAGACAGAAACAACTTGAAGCTCTAGGATACGAAGTCATAACAATATGGGAGCATGAGTTTAAGAAAATAAAGTATAATGTTACATAATTGGGAACATTAGTTTCCCACCTGGATGTACTAGACGTCTTCTAGGGAGAGTCAATCCCACAAGACTTTTATACGATATAAAAGAAGGAGAAAAGATCAAGTGGATTTTACATGTTATATCTGTGACCAAACAAATATTGTGAGTATCTGGTTGAACATCCCACAATAATAACAACAAATTTATCTCATTTAAATAATTATTTTGGTTTTATAAAATGTAAAACTCTAGCCCTTAGGAAAGTAGCATCCAGTTTTACCATTGTAACGAATTTGTTATTATATATTTATTTTAATATAATCGTTTGTTTAGATTAAATTTATATTTAAAAACATAAATAGCTTATAGTGTTAGATATGTATTGCGAAACTCCCGCCTATTCTCCAAAGTTGTAGAAGATTTTCGAGAGTAAGAATCAACAATATATGTATATAAGTAAACGCTTAAATGTAGCTCAGTATTGTTACGTAAAACTGAAATTTCTAGAACGCCTCTACACGCCTATAAGTATAACCAATGCGACGCGCCGAAAAAGAGAGTATCTATTATTAGTTCGCTATTGTCAGTGTGCTATAAACTTGATAAACTATAACTGTGATTATCATAACGCTTATCAATCGGAAAACTTCATATATTTGATCAGAAGCCTTTACAAAGTTCGAACATTACAAATCATTTAACTTCAGTGGATTCTCATTGGACATAAGTATTTTTACGAAAACATTATATAAATTCATCGTGGAAAACTCGGCGTGTGTGGCTGGTAAATAACGAAGGACAAAGCTAGCTAGCTCCCTATTAAGTGAATTATACCTATGTCAACTCGTAATCAACTCGCTCATCGTGAACCCTCGATAAGATATCGAAGAAGTTCCAGACTAGAAAGAAGATTTTATACTGTTTGTAAGTTTGTGAAACTTTTGTTTATAAATCATTATTTGTAATAACTGTTATTGTAAATTGTATTGTTGTGTGCATATTAAAACGCATTTGTGTTAAAAAATAAGAAAACTGTGGGTATCAATCTTGTTGGCAAATATCATAAACTGACTATATATCGGCCTTTACTTAACTGCTAAATCCAAAGTACAATTTAACTACTAAACTTAAATTTATCAGTTAACTCAGTTTCAGATAATTCGAAATTCTAATACGTAACATATAAAGGGCCTTAATCTTTGATTTTTTACAAGCCAGGTTCGCAGAGAATCAATGGCGAGAAACTGAAATATATATTAATCTTTTAGTCTGTCTTTCAGCTGTAATTAACAATACTTAGGTTACTTGCTTTAAATGAAGATTCAAAATGCTTAAATATTTCAAAGCTTCCAAATGCCATTTTTAAAGTTTTAAAGACTTTCAAAAATATTATTTCTACAGAGATAATAATACTTGTTAGTCTTGAAAAGATTTTGCGAGCTTGTTCAAGAAGCACTTTTTAAACACTCTTATTATAATTTTTTAATACAATATACAAACAAAACCTACACATTTCTAATATTTTCTCATTTTTCCCTTTTTTCGGTTTTTTTTCATACAATTAATTTTACTTGTTTGTTTTAGCAAAAATATACACAATGGGCTATTTGTTCACCGCGGGAAATCGAACCTTGCATTTTAGCGTTGTAGCTCCGTAAATTTACTTCTGACCCACGTGGGGAGGGGGCACACAGTGAAGCTGGTTGTGAAACATACTAAGCGAATCTTTTACATATATCATTCAAAAATGTTATTATCTAAAGAATAACGTGAATATTTACAGAGAATACAGATTTACAGGACTGAATAAAAGGTCTTTGAACCTGTTTTACAAAGTAATATATACAAAACCATTTAATTTTTTTAAAGCAAGTTAAATTAAATTTTTCATAACTCCATTAGCACAGATCATTAAACGGAACTTAATTTTAGTACATAGTGGAATGTTAATAAATGAAGTATATAGAAACTGTTTTATAAGTTTATGAGGTAACTAATAAACTAACATCTAGAGTGTTTATCACACGAGTCGAAATTTTTCAAATTGTATGCATTGAAGTGGACAACTTAAATACGTGTTACCGATATAAGTTCGTTGGGGACATTGATAATGTGATTAGTGGGATAGCAGTGAACATGTGTTATAAATTTGACAACTCAAGATGTTAAGCCTGTAAAAAGTCAAAGTAGCTAACGGATAGCTATTAAATACAGTCAAGTAATAACAGTAATTGTACATTGATAATAAGTAACAGTGGCTTCAGTTGTACATATATTATATTTTTAAAAAATGAAGAGATTCTTAGATCACCTGAAACGTTATCTGTATTTCGTCCTTTAATTACCCCGAAAACCGTTCAAAACCCATAGATTCTCATTCCTGTGAACCTGAGGTCAATGAGATGCCACAGTCTTTACAGACTTATTTTTGTATTAAAAACTGGCGAAATTTTCTAAATTGAAAATAAAAGACAAATATTGTATCATGATTTTTAAGCTACTTTCTCCATCCTTAATCGGGCTCGTTCTGGTGGTCATGGTTATGCACTTTGATTTACACATAAATTTCCACTGTAATAAGTTTCTGCGAAGAACAATTAGGTCAGTCTTCCACTCTCCTTCTGTATCTAGACGTTAGCTTTCAAGACCACATAGATCAAATGCACAAAAGTCAATTCGAACTGAATGGGATAATTTGAAAAGTAGTTGTGTGGTGGAATGGGATTGTTCTAATTCCAAACAATTTCTGGCCATTCTGTTTACTTGAAAACACATGCTTATTCCGAGGTATGTTTGGATGTTTGGGAACTTTTTTTCTTGTGAGCCTTCGTCAACTTCAACTCCCTATTTATTATCTTGTATCCACCCTCTCCGCAATAGTTCTATTTTTAAGTTGCATGATTCTCTTTCCCAACCATAACCTTTACGAACAAGGTGAGGCTTCAGGTTGAATTCGGGTGTGATTTTAAATCCTGTTGTTGTTTTGACTCTACATTATTAAATAATTTCGCTTCACGAATATCCGTCTTTGGAAATGTCATATTATCCACCAATCCCAAGTCCAGCTGATGAGGTATGCACTGTCGAATAGTAGAGAATTCGCCGTGAGCCAAATAAAAAGATATAAAACACGTCACCTATGGAACCACATCTAGCTTCTGTGACGACGTCACACTGCATTAGTATATACAAATCGTTCAAATGAGGATCTGAGAACCGACTGTAGATTTCATAATCTCGGCTCACGTGTGTATAATTTATTTGTAAAGAAAACCTATCATCTAGCTGTAAAAATTAAAATACGATGAGATTATAGGTAGTATTAAAAGACGGTTTATGGAAAATGTGGAACATAAAGATTATAGGTTACTTCAATGTTAGTTGATCTATTTTAGAACAGTAATAAGACGTTAGTTTCTAGTCACGCAATGAACAGATTTAAGTACAGCAGAGAAAACAAGTAACACATTACAGATATCGGGAAGATAGCACAATTGTTTCAACTGTTTTCTGTAGACAAAGGAAGGATAGTTCCATTGTTTTCAACTTATAATTACATATATTATGAGAGTTATTTTGTTTCAACTGCTTATTTTAATGTTCACTAAAAATATGAAAATGTAGTCCAACTGTTTCAACCTTTCACTACAGATATCAGAAAAAATTCAGTTGTATAAGTAATATTAAATATATTAGGAGGTCACAACTTTTCACTACAGATACAAGAGATTAAAAAGAGAATCTGGTTGTTGCAACTGTTCTTTATTAATATTAGGAATAATCCAGCTATTGCAGTTGTTCTCTAAAGGTACTAGGAGGATAATCCACTTACCTCATCTATCCACTAAAAAGATTTGCAAGCAGCCCAGTTATTTCATTTGCTGTAACGATATTAGGAGAATGATTCACGTGTTTTAAATTCCCCAAATTGTTACTTACTGGAAACAACGTAGTTCCGACTAATATTTACATATTTCAGGCGTATACAAACAAAATCCTAATATCTGCTCTTCAACACTGAGAGAATGGTGTTTATTAGTATGATCAGTTCTTAGTTATCCTCCATGATCGCTGCTTTTTTTGCATGTAATTGGGGTGTGTTGATGCATGATATAAAAAATGTGCCAGGATGTCTTTAGCACAATTGGTTACTCTTTTGGCGCCATCTCTGCTATCTCAGTGTGCATGTGCGAAGATTATACAGAGAGTCCTCAAGTCAAATGTATAAAGCCGTTAACTGACAAGTGTTTTCCTGCACAGAGTCCTCAAGTCAAATGTATAAAGCCGTTAACTGACAAGTGTTTTCCTGCACTGAGACCTCAAGTCTAATGTATAAAGCCGTTAACTGATAAGTGTTTTCCTGCACTGAGACCTCAAGTCTAATGTATAAAGCCGTTAACTGATAAGTGTTTTCCTGCACTGAGACCTCAAGTCTAATGTATAAAGCCGTTAACTGATAAGTGTTTTCCTGCACAGAGACCTCAAGTCTGATGTATGAAGCCGTTAACTGATAAGTGTTTTCCTGCACTGAGACCTCAAGTCTAATGTATAAAGCCGTTAGCTGACAAGTGTTTTACTCCACAGAGACCTCAAGTCTAATGTATATAGCCGTTAGCTGACAACTGTTTTCCTGCACTGAGACCTCAAGTCTAATGTATAAAGCCGTTATCTGCCCAGTGTTTTCCTGCACAGAGACCTCAAGTCTGATGTATGAAGCCGTTAACTGATAAGTGTTTTCCTGCACTGAGACATCAAGTCTAATGTATAAAGCCGTTAAACTGATAAGTGTTTTCCTGCACAGAGACCTCAAGTCTAATGTATAAAGCAGTTAACTGACAAGTGTTTTACTCCACAGAGTCCTTAAGTCTAGTGTTTAAAGCCGTTAACTGACAAGTGTGTTTCCTGCACTTTTGTGTTTTCACTTTTATTTACTCTTCTTACTGTATTAATCATTACCAGCTATAATCTAATAGTAAAAGCCAATATTCTCATCTTGCTTCCTGTGTCAACAGTAGCAAAATATAAACTTTCTATTATCATCCACTATTTATATATTTTCATAATACTGCTACAGTGAATAAAATTAATTTGTTTATATGCATGGAAAGTTGTCTTATCGTTCATATAAACTAAACTAACATAAGCATTTTATACAGAGTCCCCAGAAACTAGATTTGCAACGTCTTCTATCTTGTTTTATTTAATTATACGATTTTAGTACCACACATGTTGCATCTGACGTCTGACAGAAAGTTAAATGTTTTGCTCATAGATAATTTCTAGCATTGA